CTGGTCATGCAGGGCCGCCTAGGCGAGGCTAAGAGAGTCCTCAACAAAACCTCCAATTCCAAAGAAGAAGCTCAGATAAAGCTCAGCGACATTAAAGAAGCCGCTGGAATCCCTCTAGACTGTGACGACGACATTGTTCAGGTTACAAAACGCAGCCATGGTGAAGGCGTCTGGAAAGAGCTGTTTATCTACCCAACTCCCCCCGTCCGACATGTCTTGGTCGCTGCCATTGGAATCCACTTTTTCCAGCAAGCCTCAGGGATCGACTCTGTTGGACTCTATAGTCCAAGAATCTTCGAGAAGGCCGGAATCACTTCCGATGGCCACAAGCTACTCGCGACCATAGGCGTTGGATTCGTCAAGACCACTTTCATATTAGTTGCCACGTTTCTACTAGATCGGGTCGGGCGGCGGCCATTGCTCCTCATCAGCGTTGCCGGAATGATAATTTCGTTGGGCACCCTCGGGGTAGGGCTCACAATAATCGACCACTCAGAGAAAGAGCTGACGTGGGCAGTGGTGCTTTGCATGCTGTTGGTCCTATCTAACGTGGCGTCGTTTTCAATTGGAATGGGGCCGATTGCATGGGTGTATAGCTCGGAGATCTTCCCGTTGAGGCTCCGTGCGCAGGGGACGAGTATGGGAGTGGTAGTGAATAGGGTGACGAGTGCGGTTATATCCATGACATTCATTTCACTGTACAAAGCCATAACGATCGGCGGCGCATTCTTCCTGTACGCCGGAATTGCGGTTGTGTCGTGGATTTTCTTTTACATGTTCTTGCCGGAAACTCAGGGGAAGACGTTGGAGGAGATGGAGGGGCTGTTTGGGAAATTCAATTGGAAGTGTTCAAAGGGAAAGAAGGAAAATGAGGAAGAATTTGAAGGCAACAGTAACGGTCAGGTTCAATTAGGAAATGTCAATGGGCAAAGCTCGGCGTAATGGTAGTTTAGTAAATATATGTGCTAAGAAATTTTAGATCACATATGTTATCCTTAAAAATTGCCTGCGGGTGGAATTGAAAGGAGTTAGGGGCATAAGAGAATTGAAAATTAAATAAATTGAGAATCCTTTCTCATCCTAAAGTCTCAATTATTGTGACAATTTAAAAATACTCAAAAGCTTTCTAATTATATTAACGATCTGTTAGTTTAAATGAAAAAAGTTTGGTTTTTTTTAAAATAAAATCTTGAGTTCGAGTTTTGTAAATGAAAAAATAGGCGCCGGAAGAATCTCTCACTTATGTGATTCGATGTGCTTTGATTTTGAATTAATTGAGACTTAATGTACTTACTAGATACCTTGAGATTAATACCAAAAATAATAATAAAGAAAAGCTTTCTAATTATGGTCTGTATTGATGCAAAAATTGGTGTTTAGTTTTAAAAAATATGTTTTTTAGTGTAGATTGCATCAAAAAATACAATTCGAGCTATTATTGTATTAGAATATATTTAATATAGAGTATAATAAATCCAACCACTTGAATTTTTTTTAAATGTAAAAATTAAATTTTAAATCTATAAGTAATAATATAAATAATTTTATTACCAAAATATATAATTTATTGTT